GGGCTCAGGCAATCCACTCACCTCAGCCTCCCAAAGGCGCGGGATTACAGGCTGAGCCACCGATCCCGGCTTCTCCTCCTGTTTTGAGCAGCAAACTAGGGGTCACACAGTGACCCAGTGACAGAGTAGACCTATTAGCTAGGAAAAAAAATGGCCACAGTTACTGAGTACTCATGGCATGTCAGGCCTTATTCTAAGTACTTTCAACATATTAATTCATTCTCGTCACAACCCTGGCAGACAGGTACTATTATAAACCCCATTTCAGATGTCTTGAGGTTACCTGGGATTTTTATACGGTTATGAAAGAGACCTTTTTCCTTCCAATAAGTAAATAAATAAACCCTGTTTTAAAGATGAGGAAACAGAGCCAGAGAGGGCAAGAACCTGAGCCAGTTCCCGCAGTGGGGAAGCCACTGAGCTGGGCTTCTGGAACTCAGGCTGTCTGGCTGCGGAGCCCTTCCTGTCCACTGCTAAGGAAATGTCACCAGGGAGCTGGCTGGTGAAAAGCAGGGCCCTGGCCTCAGGCCTTCCACCTCTGCTTGTCTTCTTCCCGCTGTGTGCTGCCACCTTCTCGGGTGCAGAGAAGGATACGGTTAACAGCTATCTGGTCAGGCTGCCGTAAGGATTAAATGCATTGCATAGGTATAAAATGCAAATATGTGTAAAATGTGAGTTGCCATAGCTGCTGTTTATAATTATGAATAAAAATATTAGGATTATGAATGACATTTAGAACACTGAGAGGTGTTTTTTTGTTGTTTTTGTTTTTTTTGAGTTGGAGTCTCACTCTGTCGCCCAGACTGGAGTGCAGTGGCCGCTCCCGGCCACCGCAGCCTCGACCTGCTGGGCTCCGGCGATTCTTCCGCCTCAGCCTTCCAAGTAGCCGGAATTACAGGCATGCGCTACCACGCCCGGCTGATTTTTTTGATTTATTGTAGAGAGATGAGGTCTTGCTGCCCAGGCGAGTCTCAAACCCGCGGGCTCAGGCAATCCACTCACCTCAGCCTCCCAAAGGCACGGGATTATAGGCTGAGCCACCGAGCCCGGCTCACTGAGAGGTGTTAAGGAACTTCTCTGCAATGATGAGTTAGTTCTTCCTTTGGAGGGAGGCACCTTGTTCCACAGTCTGGGCCCGTTATTCCAAGAGGTTGCAAGCACCAGTGTCTGTGGTCCCATAAGGCAAGTAAACCCAAAAGGCCAGTGAGAGGAGGTGTCACAAGACCAGGAGTGTGTGCGGTCCTTGTTGAGGCACACCGGCCTCTTGGCAGCAGTGCAGAAGCCAGCAGAAACTGCAGGCTTACCCAGGCGGCCCTGCGCCCATGGGGACACAGGAGGCCATGGTGGTAGCTGTCATGCTAGCACCTGCCCGTTTCCCCCTCGACATACCTCTGGGCTCCGTCTCCCTGGATCCTTCCAGACCCATGAGCTTTCCAAAGGGTCTTACCATCCTTTTAAGAGAAGAAGCCCCAAGCCCCGGGGCGAAGTGACCTGGCTAAGTTCACACAGGGCAGTCCCGTCTTCTTACTCATCCTTAACTTGCTCACACCAGCTCTGTCCTGAGCCAGCTCCTCTCATACCGCTTACTGAAACAGGCAGTGCAGCCTCAGAGCCAGGGTGTGGCCAGGTGTGCGAATAATTTTGCAGGCTTGACAAATAGCATTGTTCAGAAACAGGCAAAAGGAATCACTAATCCCAGGAGGAAAAAAGCGAATTATAATCCTGCTCAGAACACTTCTGCAGCTCCATCTCAGGGTCAAAGCCATCCATAGTCCTCCTGGTGGCCCATGAGGCCCCACAGCATCCATCTCCAGTCTTGGCTCTCCCTGCTCCCTCCCTCACCCTCTGCTCACTCAGTTCCAGACATCCTGGCCTTCTCCATGGCCTCACACAGACCAGGCTCTTTCCTACCACATGGGACTTTGCACTGACTGTGTCTGACATTTGGAATTCTCTTACCTGGGGTAGCCCATGGCTCCCTCCCTATTCGCCTTCGGGTCTTTACTCAATGTCACTTTCTCAGTGAGAGGGTCTTGTAACACTGGAATAGCCCCTGCTTCTCTCTCTCTCTATCTCTCTCTCTCTCTCTCTCTCTCTCCATTTCACCTCCCTCCTTTAATTTCCTGTGAGCACTTACCACCACCTGACAAAATATATTTTCTGGGTTGTTTTCTGGTTTTTGGTTTTTTGAGTCGGAGTCTCACTCTGTTGCCCAGGCTGGAGTGCAGTGGGGCACACTCACAGCCAATGTAGCCTCAACCTGTTGGGCTCAGGTGATCCTTCTGCCTCAGCCTTCCAAGTAACTAGAACTACAGGTGTGTGCCACCATGCCCAGCTAATTTTTTGATTTATTGTGAAGACGAGGTCTTGCCACCTTGTCCAGGCTAGTCTCAAACCTGTGGACTCAGGCAGTCCTCTTGCCTCCACCTCCCAAAGTGCTGGGTTTACAGGTGTGAGCCACCATGCCTGGCTTGGCATTTCATTCTAAGTCGATGCCATCAGGAGAGAGAAGAGGATTCTCACCTGACCCAGGTGTTTACAGGGTCCTCAGGCTGCATGTGGGGAACAGACTGGGGGCCAGGGCGGGGGACCTGAGAATAGCTGGTGGAGGAAAGGTCAGATTCGGGTGTTTGGTGGTTTTTTGTTTTCTGTTTTTTTGAGCCAGGTTCTCATTCTGTCCCCAAGCTGGAGTACAGTGACACAGTCCCGGCTCACAGCAGCATCAGCCCCTTGGGCTCAAGTGATCTGTCTACCTCAGCCTCTCGAGTAGCTGGGACTAGATATGTGTAACATGACGTCTGGCTAATTTTTTGATTTTTTTGTAGAACAGTCTCCCTATGTTGCGTAGGCTAGTGTCCATCACCTAGGCTCAAGCCATCCTCCCACCTCAGCCTCCCAAAGTGCTGGGATTACAGGTGTGAGCCACCACACTCGGCCTTGGGATTATCTTAATGTTAGAGGCACAAGAATTATTTCATTGACCCACTGCTCAGGCCACAAAACTTGAGTCCCAGGTTGTCAGGCATCAAGGGGAAAAGCATGGCTCCTGGAGCCAGCTGCAGGATTCTGGCTTCATAATCCCAGTTCCACTGCTCACAAGCCAGTGTGACTTTGAATGAGTGCTTAACTTCTTTGGGCTGCAGTGTACCCACTGGTAACATGGAAACAGTAATAGACCCTACCTCATAGGAGGGTTGCTGTGAGGATTAAATGAGTAATGAATTATTGTTAGCTTTGATTTATTTCACACCCCACTTGCAGTCTCTCGCTAAGTGCTGTTTGAGTTGATTTCTCTGCCTTGGTGATTTGAGGGTCCCATCCCAATGTACCTGATCCTGACCCCAGGCTGGGGCGGTAGGTGGGGCCTGGAAGCCTAGGTGAGCTCCCTCATGCCTTCTCCCCAGGTATTGACTTCATGGACATGGCTTCCGATATCCTGCAGCCCCCAGGAACCGATGTGGCCCGCATCAGCTGGCACCTCCGTGACTTAATCACCCGCTACCAGGAGACCTTCAACGTCATCGAGAAGGTGACTCTGGAGGGGTTCCCTCTGCCGGCCTCTCCTGGGCCAGCCCTGACCCCGCCCCTCATGTTCCCCCTTTCAGTGCCCCAAGCCGGTGATCGCCGCCATCCACGGGGGCTGCATTGGCGGAGGTGAGTCCAGGGTGCTCCCCTGGCCACGTGGCTGCCCTGTGACCACAGCCTAGAGTCCCCAGCCGTGGCTCGTTGCTAGCCAGACTGTCCCAAGCCACAGCCTCAAGTCCTGGGAGGAGGAGTTGCTTCTGGCAGTTGTTGAATATCCCTGGCCTCCACCTCCCAGGCGTGGACCTCATCACTGCCTGTGACATCCGGTACTGTGCCCAGGATGCTTTCTTCCAGGTGAAGGTAAGGCCTTCTCCTGAGCTCCTCCTCTGGCTTTGCTTAGACTTGGGCAGGGGCTGGGGTGGGGCTTGGGGTGAGCCCAGAGGGCTTCAGAGGAGAGCTAGTCAGACGGAACGTTGCAAAGTAAGACTTGGCTGTGGAAGACGTGGGAAGTGGGCTGTCCAGGGGGGTCTTGGGACTGAAGGCGTGGGGTGGGGACAAGGCTGGCGGTGTGGAGGGTGGGCTTCGGGACTTGCTGATAAGGGGGCAGAGGCCTATGGAAACAGGAAAGGGCTTGCAGGGGGAGGGAGGGAGGGCTTGCAGGGGGAAGGAGGGAGGGCTTGCCCGTGGGGTGGACAGGGCGGCCCTGAACACGGGAGGCAGAGCAGGCTGAAGGTGGGTCTACCTAGGCTGACAGACCCTGACCGGTAAGACTTTGGGGGGCGACGGCTTGGAGGGGGTCACTGAGGAGGGCGTGGGGTGGGGGTCACGGACGCGGAGATTGTGGGGGAGCATTACTGGGCAGAAACCAAACATGGCGCCATTGCTCCTGCAGGAGGTGGACGTGGGCTTGGCTGCCGACGTCGGGACGCTGCAGCGCCTGCCCAAGGTCATCGGGAGCCGGAGGTGGGCGGTGAGGAGGCGGGGGAGGCAGGGAGCGGGCCTCGGGGGTCGCCCGGCCCGGAGGCGCCGCCTCCTGACGCGCCCTCCCTTCTCGCAGCCTGGCCAGCGAGCTGGCCTTCACCGCCCGCAAGATGATGGCGGACGAGGCCCTGGGCAGCGGG